AAAGTAATTTTTCTGGAGAAGCACTTTAATATTACCATCTAAATTATTATGTTATTCATAATAATAAATAAATAAATATAAGTTATATATTATATTTAAATTAAAATTAAAATTTAAAATATATAATTGAAATATCAAACTTTAAAAATATAATTTTAATTATATAAGTATATAATTTAATATTTTAAAATATAATTTATAGATTTTAAAATAATTGGTAGAATAATATTTATTTAAAATCAATTATTATCTTTTATTTTTTAATTAAATTAAACTAAAAATATATTTTTAATTAGGTTAGATAATTTAAAATTTTAAAATAAATTAAAAGGTTTAATAAAATATATATTTACATGTTATGTTCTATTTGGTAATTTTAATAGTTCATTTTACCATTTTAATTTTATTATATCCAAAAAAAATTTATAAAAAAAAAAAAAATTATTTTTATAATGATTCATCCAAATGTAAAATTTAATTGTTTATACTTCTACTTTTAATTTTGGCTTTTATTTATGGCGTGTTTGAAAATTAACCGTTAGTATTTAGTTTTTACTAATTCAATTAGTTGTTAATTTTAGTTAATTCTATTAATTGATTTGAGTAGCGGATTATATTAGTTGTTTTTATTAAAGTATTTGCTAAAATAACTGTTTGATATTAATTGTTTATACATAAATGACAATTAATTTTTTTTTTTTGGTCTGAAATTGAGTGTTGATTTAAATAGTATTTTGATATAATATTTGAAAAAAAAAAAACATATTTTATTTTAAAATTGTGCTAGTTGAATACTGTTAATTTATGTTTGAAATAAAACCAAGCAAACAAATTTTATTTTTAAAATCTTTATGCATATATATTATGTCCAATACTCCATATGTTCCATCTTTTTCTTCCACTATTTATCTATTTGCTCATCCCACCTTGTCTATTTTTTTTTTAGATAATACTTCATCCGTTCTTATTTATCTTTTGCATTATTGTACTTAATATTAAAAATATCTTTATATTTGTATAATTTTTTGTACAAATGTTTTTCTATTAGTATTATAAGACACTAATTGAAGTATTTTTGCAATTTTTTCTTAATTTATAGTACTACATTTTGATGTAATAATTAATATATAAAGATTAATATGCAAAAAGTAAATGAGATCCCTAAAACCAGACGGAGGTAGTATAATTATACACTTTAATCACATTTTAAATTTCATAATTTATAATATTTTTAATTTACTATTTAGTTATCTTAATCTTAATTCATAATTAGTTTATTATACAACAATTATTTTTATTAAGATACTTCTTATTACTTACTCATTATACTTTATCTAACTTCTCGTATCTATATACCAGACACAAAGATGGACATAAAGGGTGTGTTTGTTTGGGGGTTTGGATTTTGAGTTGGGATTTGAATAGTAAAAATTTTGAATTTGAATAGTTATATGATGTGATATAAATAGGGTGTTGATGTGATGTTTTGAATATAAAATTGATTTTTATTATAATATAAAAAATGAAAAATAAGTGTTTGATTTGATATTTTTTAGGAGAAAAAATTAGATGAATAGTGTAAATCCAATCCAATCCCCGAACAAACACACCCAAAGAGTATTAGTTAATTTATCATTTTACTAAATTTATAATTTGAAATAATTATATTATATTTATAATATATTTTTTCTGTGATATAATATATAAAAATTAATACTCCTAGGGTGTGTTTGTTTGGGGGTTTGGATTTTGAATTGAGATTTGAATAGTAAAAATTTTGAATTTGAATAGTTGTATGATGTGATATAAATAGGTGTTGATGTGATGTTTTGAATGTTAAATTAATTTTTAGTATAATATAAAAAATGAAAAATAGGTGTTTGATTTGATGTTTTTGGGGGGAAAAAATTGGATGAATAGTAGAATTTTGTTAAAATTCTACAAACGAACACACCCCTAGTGTTTATATTTTCTTTCTTAAAATTTAATAAATTTATATATTTAAATATAAGATAGTTTTTCTGTAAAATAATTAATGATTTCAAATTTTTTAAAAAAATTACTACCTCCGTCCCACATATTGTGTCTGCTACACTGTAGATACGGTATTTTAGCAGATAATTAATAATGTATTAGTGAAAATAATTATCCTATAATATAAATAATTATAAATTAAGATTAAGATAACTAATTAGTTAATTAAAATTAAAAAAAATAAGATTAAAGTAATCATTTTTCAAAAAAAAGAAAATGACATGGTATGTGGGACGAAGGAATTAGTAAAATTAGATATTTTAAAACAATTACTAAAGTAACAAAGCAAAAAATGGCAAAATAGAAAAAAAAAAAATTGTGATGAAAATGTTAATACAAAAAGCTGTATTTATTAGTTTTTTTAAAATTAATTTTTTATTCTAATAAGCTATTTAAAAAAATTAATTTACCAAATAATCTAATTTACTATTTGATTGATCAAATAATTAAAAATTCTTCAATAAATTTTTTACTAAACACACAATTAATTTTTAATTCAACCCAAATATAAAAAAGACTTTGTTTTTATAGATCTAATTTGGCCAAACTTACTATTTCAACACTGTGCAGACAAAACAATGCACAAAACTATTTATAATTTTCTTTGCTTAGGGTTGGCTATATGTGTCCAATAAGCAATTAGAGATGTAAAAACAAACTAATAGTTTGTGGGCACTGCTCGACTCTTTTGAGCTCGTTAAGGTTCGTTCATTAAAATAAATGAGCATAATACAAATATAAATTTTGATTCATTATGTTCACGAATGAGCTCGAGCTTGTTGGCTAAAATTCGGCAATATTTATTAAAAAATTTAAATTAAGTATTTATTAGAAAAAATTAAATTACTAATATTTTTATATTCAATTAATATATTTATTTAATATTATTTTTCATTTTATTTTTTTATTTAAATTTATCAATAAAAAATTATAATTATTATTAACTGATTTTTTTTAAAAAAAAATTAAATAAATAAAATAAAATTTATCTTAACGAGTCGAATACGAACAAAAAAATTGTTAAACAAGCCGAACTTAAACAAAAATTTCAGCTAATATCTCTTAACAAACAAATATGAGCCGAGCTCAAACATAACAAGCTCGGCTAAATTCGACTCGTTTACAGCTCTACGTGTAACTTACAGTAAATTAATTATTTAATTATTTTAATAATTATATTTTAATAAAATATATATTATATATATCATTTTTCAGAAAAAATTATAAAAATAAATAAATAAAAAATATATATAAAGAAACATACTTTAAAATAAAAAAAATACGCACTTTCGGGTAGGGACGACGAATTCCCACGTTGTCAAAAAAAAGAAATAAAAAAAATCCAAATTTATCATAAAAATTCAAATTCAATCTAAACTCAAACTAAATTTATCCAGATTCCCTAAAAAGAAACACACACCTAATAAATCTAAATAAAAGAACAATTGAATTGGAATGAGTAGATTGTTATTTAAAAAATAAAAATAAAAATATTTTGTAATTGAACAATTCAAAATATATATATATATATTTATAAGTAGATATGTTTTAAAATCATCGGTACTTCCTCCTCTCATCACAATTGACACCATTTCTATTTTCGTAAATGTCATAACAATTTACATTTTTTTATTTTAGGTAAAATATATTAAATAAAAAAATACTTAACAAATATAAATCAACTTAATTAACTATATAACATATAAAATTTCATCTCTTTTGTAAAATTAGTCCATGTTAATTATAATAAATAAAAGTATTTTTTATTTTCTTATATTACAGATAATTTTATACGAAATGATATTTATATTGCATATATTTTTATTAAAATATATTTTTTAAAATATTTAAATACATATTTTAAAATTTTAATCATATATTAAAGTTATTTTAAAATTATCAATATTATTAATTACATAAAAAAATAATATTATAACTCACTATTATTAATAATCAAATATTATTTTTTTCAAAAATATTGTATTACTAATAAAAAAGAATTAATTATCTTGGAACAAAAAAAGTAGTTTCTATCCATCATACTCATATATCCCATATCACTTCTTACAAACTTTAATTTCATTTTAATTTTTTTAATTTTAATTAAATTAATTAGTTATATTAATTTTAATTTATAATTATTTATATTATAAAATAATTATTTTTATTATTATATTTTTAATTATCTAATAATTATATTTTTCGTATCTATGGTGACCTAAACATCGACATATGACAAATGGAGTATAAATATATAGAGTAATAAAATATTAAAATTACAAATAGAATACGCATTATATTATTATTATTATTATTATTATTATTATTATTCACATCTTCCTTTATTGGCTCTAATTATTACTTGTGCCGGAAACCATTGTTCGAATTATGAAATTTTAAAAAACAAAAAATTAAATAAAATGACAAAAGTAAGAAAATAGCATACTCTAATTATGGTAATGATATATATTCATGTCATGTGGACTGGACTGTGTCAAAGTACAGTTTTTTGTTTTGGGAACTCCAGTTATTACATGCACTTCACTCGTGGGGACTCCAGCTCCCCCAATTAGTAAGGGCAAAATAGTAATATCACATTTTCATATTATCCGCATTTTTTTACTTGATTAATTAAATTTACAAATCTGTTATAGTAATACCCGCCTAATTAGGGAGAGTAGGGCATAGGCAACAGGCGTAGGCGTATAATACAGTCATACTAAATAAAAGCAGCCGGTCAAGCCACATCTTTTCTGTGGGACCACCGTACCCCTGTGCGAAATTACCAAAAAGGGCCTCCCAATAATTAATTGATTAATTAATGATAAAACAAAAATAAATGCGCGCATACACTGACACACAACACAAGGAAGGAAGGAACTGCCAACTATACATAACAAATATATATACATACAAAAAATTGTATCTATCGATCTATATATATATACGATGTGTGTGTGTGAGAACTGAGGAACGACACACTGTCAGATTTTTCTCTCCTTACTGCAAATTCCAGATTCTTCTTCTTCTTCGGCTTCAATGGGTGGCGCCGGCGAGGATTGGGTGAAGGCTGCCATGGCTGATGACGCCATGGTGGTGGAGGTACTTGTTAGGTTACAGAAAACGCCGCCGCGGCGGGTGGTTGGGGTGAGGAGGACCGCGGCCGCCACCGCCCCTACGCTGCCGCTGAGGTGGAGCGTCCGGCAACGCCGGTCGAAGTCGATTTCGGTCAACAACGATAGTCTGAAGAAACCGGCGCATAGAGCCAGTCCGACCACGCCGCTCTCGTGGAGCGGCGCGACCTCCGTCAGCGGCGGCGGCGGCGGCGGTTCGGAAGAGTGTAGCCGGTTTAAATTCTCCAGCACAGCGAGATCTAAGGTTAGTGTTTTCGTTGCTGTTGTTGTTGTGTTTGTACGCCTGTTTGGTTTTAATTTTCCGGTGGCCGGCGGCGGTCAGTCGGCGGCGCGTGAGTTGTGTTTTCCCCCCTTTTCTTCGTGGTATTTCGTGCCAGCTGTCATTCGTCGGTGTCGGCGGATTGGAGAGTTATCCTCGAGAAAAGTTAAACATGTAGTACCGCCGGCGAATCGGATTCCTCCGCCGTCGGAGGTCTCCGTCGTCTTCAACCGTCCGCCATTCTCCATATCGGAAGTGACACAAATACCCTTCCATTGGTTGACCAAAATGCCCTCCGAACTTTACCATATTTCCCTCCCCTCTTCTTTACTTGCAAATGCTTTCCAAAGATTCAAAAACGGTGACTTCGTTTCCACGCAAACTGTCACACGAGATAGCATTACCCTGTCACGTTTTTCCCCACGCCGCTATCTTGCGCACGTTAATTACAACCCCAAAAATTCAACAATCCTCAAAACTCCCCTAATTTCATCTCCGCCGATCTGAGTGTCCTTTTGCCAAACAAATCCAATTTCACAAATTAGGTTAATTCCTCGTGGTTGGTCTGGGATCACACGAGAAATTATTCTTATGGTTGCAAGTTTGGTGAAGGGATGTTGTGGTCAATAGGAAAGGGGCACGGCGCTGTCGAAGCGGTGGCGTGTGTTCGTGGCAAGTAGGTCTGCAAAATTTTTATGGTTTGGTGGAGCAATGTTAGTGGTGGTAGTTTACTTTAATGGCCATTTTATTTCTATTTCTTGGCTTCTTTTTTGGCGATGTGTTAGCTTAATTTAACGTGAGCAATAAATAATGAGTGGGGCGTGGCAATCCTTTGGCGTGGGAAAATTTGACTTGCCCAGCCCACGTAATTGTTGGTTGTGTTGTTGTATTAACAACAGTAGTTTCTTGTCTGTATCCTATGATCTATATGATGCCATTTGTGCACAATACATTGCGTGGATTTCGAGGCAGAGGAGCCTCCTCACTCACTCTCACATACACACACAACTGTACTGACTCATAGTTATTAGCTATAAGGACTTTTGAGGATGTGGTTAGAAATTATTATTACTACTTTTGTAAGTGTTTTACTTAGGATTCAGACAAGAGAGGGATTTTTATTTGATTAGGGCTGTAATTCTTGTGCTTGACAGAGTGGTAACGTGGGAGGATGTTCCTTTTTGAAGTAATTTTAATTATTTATGATCTGATTAGTCAGTTAGTGAGAGTGCCTTTTCTTGGTCCAAGGGAGGTGGGTTTTTGTTCAAATTGGTTTTGGTGTAACATCATTAGGAATGAACACTCAACAGAATTTATGGTTGGGGTTTTGGTGGGTGGGCACTTGTTTTGCTTATTAAATAAACTATCCATTGGCTTTTTTTTGGGTCTCCCTGACTTTTTTTCCTTCACTACTTTTCTGGGGTTTTGTAATTTGTCATTATTTATCAACTAACTGTAAGAACAAAATTGTGGATTTAATATGCACCTATTATGTTTCATGGTATGCAGTTCATTGAGAAACTTGGTTTAGGGCAGATGGAATATATATATATATATATATATTTGTGTGCACTAATTGTGCAGTGCTCTTAAATTTGTGTTGCAGGTGAACATCGACACCAAGAAAACCAATTCTAGGAGGTCAAGAAAGAAGGTGTGTATGAAACTGTTTATTTATCTATAGTTAAGGTACATACATTTATGAAAAGAACACAGCTTCGACTTTTTGGCAGATATGAATAATTGTGATGTTTATTTTCTCAGACTTTACCAGAGCTCAAAGAAGAAGAGATCTCACTGATGAAGGAAAGAAAAGACTTGAGAAGGGTATGTTATTTAGTTGGTTATTTATCCCTCGTCGTTGGATCTGAATCAAATGCCAATCTTTTGCTTCTCAGGAATTGATAGCTTTACGCAAGAATCTGGAGAGTGAAAAGGCTACGAACGAGAAGTTGAAGCGAATGAAGGTAATAATAACATACGCGGACAAGTGTTCTATATCTTTGTGGATTTCATTATCTTCGAGTGATGTTTATATCTTCCACAGATTGAGTTGCAACCCCATTTGCGATCAACATCCGTGGCGAATGAATCAACTTCGCATACTACCCATGATCCGCAACCAGTAGTGGATGCGATGGTAGAATCATCTACATCCGACGCCCATCCTGAAGAAAACAGAGATGCAGCAGCTACATCCGGATCCAAATTTGTTCTTCCTGATCTAAATATGCCATTCGACGGGTGCTCTGGGGTTATTTGTGGAGTGAGCTAGACAGACAGAGGGTCGGAAAGCGGAAGCAGGTATAGCAAGTGACACCCAATTTGTGTATTGAACAAACTTCTATATATCTTCTCTACATAACTAATCAATCAATGTGTTCTGCCTGAGTTGAGTTAGAAGAGAAATACTATTACTACTACTACTGCTGCTGCTAATTAGTGCAGTGTTAATGGAGATGAGATATGAGTAGAAGATGAAGATCAACATTCTTTTCTTTGTTGACATGCATTTTTTTCCATCACTGTGTAGTGTAGTTTAGTGAGGATTTGATTTGATTTGACTCGTGATTTGTGATTCTTGTAGGCTACAATATTGTAAGATTGATAGATACACACGTTTCTTTCCTCAAGGGAAATACTATATGCCTTTAATGCATTGATGTTCTTCACCTTGACTTGTGGTCATTGAGGGGAAGTTTTTTTTTATTTTTTTATTCAATGTAATCTTTTTCCATCTTTTTTAGTACTATCACGTAAATAAGAAAAATAAGAAAGAAGGGAAAAATAGATAAAAATTAAATGTTTTGAAGAAAATTTAATATTTTTATTTTAAAAAATAAAACTTAAAAATATAAGTCAACAAAACTACATAATTTTATTATTTTTTATATTATAAAATAAAAAAATAGAAAATAAGGAGGCAAATAAAAAATATAATTAATTATTTTTTATTTTGAAAATATTGTAGGGTGTCTATTCAGTTTGCCCCTAATCCCTTCTAGTTTCTCCCTGCTTGTCATTTTTTTTTATTATTATTTTTTTTTATGATGTAAGAACTCATTCCCTGTTTGTCATTTTATTTATTTATTTATTTTTTTTATAATGTAGGAACCCACAGCCGCTGCTATTCGAAAGTGCGCATTGGATAAATCTTCGGCGAACCTAATACGCTGCGAACCATATGTAGCAAGTGATCTGAGGTGTCGAAGATTTGAACTCATGACCTACGCTCACAAGTCCAACCCCAAAATCACCAGATTGTCCTTTACTAAAAATATTTTAATCCATAGCAGGCCAAATCAAAATATTTTTGTAGCATATAAACAAGAGTTATGAATGACAATCTATTAGAGGGAAATAAATGTTAGATTATCATTTTTTACTCTATTTTGGGAGAATTGTACGGTGCGCTCCGCGCCAATTGGAGAAACACTCGTATACAACTTTGTTTGAGGGTTTGGATTTTGAGTTTTGATTTGAATAGTAAAAAATTTGAATTTGAATAGTTGTACGATGTGATATAAATAGGTGTTGATGTAATGTTTTGAATGTAAAATTGATTTTTAGTATAATATAAAAATTAAAAAATAGATGTTTGATTGATTTGATGTTTTTTGGAGGAAAAAATAGGATTAATAGTAGAAATCCAAACAAATCTCTCAAACAAACACACCTTTAGTATTTATTTTAAATACATATATTTTATCTGTCTCGTGATAAGATATTTATAGATATTTATTTGCTTTTACGAATAAATTTTTTAATATTAATTATTATATTAATATATAATATAAATTAAGAGAAAAAAGAAAATGAATACAAATGCTAGATAAATCAAAGATGGTGATGCTCATCACTTATTAAATATACTATTTCATGCAGAGGATTAAGGAATAATAAGTCTTACTATTATACTGTGTTATGATTACTATATTATGTTCTTCAATTTTATGTTTACTTTATATATATATATATACATATCTGTTAAGATATACTTATATGATAAATAGTAAAAATATTTGATATAGAGATAATAGGATAAGAAGACAAAATAATGGAAAATTAATTGTTATTTATTAAAGTAAGTAAAGATAATAGAATAAGAAAAAAAAATGACAAATTAATTGTTATTTATTAAAGTAGGTATAATAAAACAAACGAGTGAATAAAATTATTTATAACAAATAAAATAAGCATAAAATTATAGAACATTCAAAACAGAAACATTGACATAATTTTAGGAAGATGGAGTATTTATTATTCATATTTCAACAATAACGATTTTGCTAATAAAATTTCAAAATATACAGCATAACTTTTTACTTTTCATCAGGAGAGTATTTTTTATAATGGTTTTATTTAGTATTTATTTATTGCATAATTTGTTGTTATATATTTATCATTTAATTATTGAAATAAAACTTTTAAGAAATATGCAAGAAAATTACAAAACTTCAACAGCATGTGAACAACAAACCAATTGAATACATATAAAAAATAATTGAGTAATTATAAAATAAAATTAATACATATATAATATTCTAGTGAATGGTCAAAATAGAATCATGATTTGTTAATGAATGAAAATGTTTTGTTTATTATGCTTTTCTACACCAATTTTTGACTATCCATTATAACCATTTCTTTCAAATATATATATATATATATATATATGTTCAATTAGCAATTTTTATTTTATTTTTTTCATTTTTTCTACTATTAACCTTCACAATTCCATACAAAGATAACACCATTTTCTATTCCAACCCATTACATCCAAACCACAATTCTAACTAAAATAAATATAAAAAAAACCATCAACTTAAACACCAAGAGAAATAACAAATAAATAGTGTATATATATATATATATGTAGATCTTGGTTCTGCATTGGCTAACTTCATTTTTAATTTTCTCAATTTTTATCATATAATTTTATTGATCACATAAAAAAAAACATACATTTTTTCTATTCAAAACACCACATACAACTACAATTTCAACTAAAAAAACAATAAAAACAAAAACATCTTACAACTATTATAATTATAGAGGTAATGATAAAGTTCACAGATCTTGTCACACTATCATGAAAACTACCCTCAGAAGAATGATAAATTTCTCTAAGTTCATTACAGCTTCAAAAACACATCAATTATACACAACAGCCCTCACAAATGATCATACTACCATTCATATAATGCAAATAGCAGATTAAATTAATCATAAAAAGAATCAAGAATTAAAAGATATGCATGTACCTCTGCAACCATGGAGACGAAAAGATTAATACATCCACGACAGATCCTGCTTGAACGACACCGAATTTGCAGCTCCTTGTACGCCTCGTTCAGACATCTGCGGGCAATCATCGACTACCAGCGCTTCCAGTTTGTGTGATCCTACAAGCGGCTTCAATCCGTCATCGGTTATTCCCAAACATTTGTTAATTTTCAGAACAGACAGCTGAGGAATTTGCTCAACAAGCTGTAGCCCTTCATCGGTTATCTCTTGGCATCGACTAAGCTCTAAAATTTCAAGATACTCAGCCGAACAAAGAGCTTCCATCCCGGCATCATTGAAAGAATAAACATGGTCTAAAGAAAGTTTCCGGAGCGGGCACTTTTGCACTAAAGTCAGGATTCCTTGCAAAGTGAACGAAGAGAAGGTGGGAAATTCGCCGTCTGAAAAAGACAGCCGCACGGATTCAAGCTGCGCGCAATTCTGGGCCAATGCTTTCAAGCATTCGTCCGTTAGCCTAATTGGATTGTTCATCAAAAGAGGGAGAGAAAAATCGGATGGAACTCGGAGGGAAATAGACCTGAGGTTGCTGGAATTTCGGGCCAAGCCTATGATGTCCAAATCTCTCACCCCCACGCACATGTCTAAGTGAATCTTTTCCAAGTTCTCGCATTTACCTAACACACAGGCAAGTCCTCTTCCCGGGCTGATGATACCGTTCACTAACTTAAGTTCTTGCATGTTCTCACATGGGGTTGATTGCCTCTGCCACTGATCTACAGCTAACCGATCGTAAACTTTCATGTACCGATAGTTAGCATCTACTTCAAACTGTAGGCGTCTTAACTTCCGCCATGTGTTCCCAAGCTTAATAAGATCACCTTCTCCAATAGCCCTGCAATTCTTGATGCAGAGATCTTCTAGTTTTTCAAGCTTTCCGAGATATTCCAGCCATTCCATGCTGGCGATATTAAGACAGCGGATAAGATGCAGCAACGAAAGGTTCTTACATCCCACTACAACAGACAATATCCCAAAACCACTAATTCTTGGAGTGAAGATCAGCTTTAAGGCAGAAAGACGAGAGCAGGTAGCCAAGTGACCCAATCCAGCATCGGTAATAAAAGTGCAGTAACTTAGTGTGAGATCTGTCAAAAGAGGGCAACTTACAGAAAGATTATAGAGCCCCTGGTCATCCACCTGTTTACCTAATTTTGACATCCAGCCCGAGTAAGAGATTTCGACTTTTTCCAAGTTACGAAATCTGTTGCAGAGTGAGATCAGTGCTTTGTTGGCGGGATCCATTCCGCAGCCAACTCGAATAGCTTTGCGTTGCTCATTATCCAATTCATGGAGGCGCTTACAGGTCAAAGATACTGAATTCTTATCTACTGTTCTCGGGATTCTATGCAGTATGTCCAAAGTTACTTCCGCAGGCAACTCATCCATTTGTTATTGCGGTCCTATATCACAAATGGAAAGAGATCGAAACATTGAGAGTGTGTTTGGTTTTGATTTAAATCCAAAATCGTTGCGGTTCCAATGAAAAAATATACTATTTCTTAAAACCTAAATCATCACATCAAAATACTACTTAAATAAAAGTTCAAATTCAAATTCAAACTCAAACTCAAACCAAACAAACCCGAATATCTTATACAGAAGCTGATTTGTACCCTTCATATAAAGTTTCAGGGAGAAACAAGAAATTTATTCGATATACAGCCAACAAACCATCTATCCCTGAATCAGTGGAGTGCACATAATGATTATAACAATGGCATACTTATTTGCTTCAATTAGAAGATAAAAAAGAGCAAAGAAACAGATTCTTATGGCGCATAATGATCCATGGTAAGGCATACCAATCAACGTTCACCATCAAAGCACACCAATTCTGCATCCTATGACTAATTATGTTCGCAGAAAAGCAATGGCAGAATCAATCGAATAAAAAAACTGCATAATTGAAGAGTAGACAACAATTAGGCAAAACCAAAGCAATCACATTCAAATCACTCCCAAAACAATCATTCACGAGGTTCAAATAAAACAATTAGGAATACAGTTAATCCAATCGATAAATAAAACAGAGAAGACAACTCATCCGATTAATTTATAAACAAACACCAGATAGCATCGGCAGCGGATTCGGAAAAGCAGAATTCACTTAACCGGCGTTCCCCGAAAGCGATTCCGTGCAAAATTATTCACAATAATAATTCCAAACCTAAAGACTCCTAGAAAAATTAAAGGAAGGACGAAATTAATGGCGTCTACCTGATTATGCCGAAGCGGTGGAATCTGCGAGATTGCGAAATTAGAGAGAGAGAGAGAGGATGAAGGAACCTAAAAGAATAGATGATATTTTAGTGTGGACCCATTGAGATCGAATACAATTCAATACATACATAGATATTTATATGTAAATTTTTATTTATTTTTTTTCTGTAACACTTTATAAATAAATATCCATTCTTATTTACTTAGGTTGCAATAATTATCATGTAAATTTATGTATAATTTATTTATGATAAATAGTTTTATTTATTCAAATCTCAATACTAATTTATGTTTACTTTAATACACTTATTATTTTATTGATTTTAAATATTTTTTTTTAATAATAAATTTCGATTTGTATCATATTTTATAACATGCAGTAATTTGAGTGATGTTGAGATCGGAAAACATCGACATGAACGTGCATGGCCATGATTTTCAAACTCGGTTGAGGTAATCGGCCGGTATTAATACATTTTGATGCCACCTTCAATTTGGCAATTTTAGCGGAGTTGGATTCACGATTGTTATCCGTTGGGGAGTGACTCGTCACTGATAAATAAGTTGCTTGCAAATTCTTTCTAATAATACAATTGTACTACTATATGTAGTAAGTTTCATATTCCATTGGGCCGTGACTCGTGATCATTACGTGGCACTGATATATTTATTTGAATCGAAGTGAATCTATCTTAAATGGATGTTGGCAGAACCCGAACATATCATGTGTATAACATTAATGTCTTCTATTGATGCTATTGATTTGAAACGGTCTATCAAGTGACCTACAAATTTTTTTGATTTTAATCCGATAAACTCAAGACAGTTTTTCCCTGCTGAATAAATTTCGAATCCCACCAAACATGCAAAAATATTAAAGTGGGTTGAATTTTTTTCCAACAATAATCATATGATTTCTTTTTGGAGAAGTTAAAATAATTAAATATTTAATTCATAGTATATATAGTGATTAGATGTTTAATAGTAAAAGAAATAAAAGATTAAAATTATATACTTGTACTGAGATGCACGATATGATTTACAACAAATATGACATGTTTTATTTATAAAATCTAAACGGTGCAAACGGACATATTATTGTAATCTACTAACAATGTAAAAAGACACAACCCTTTGCTATAACAATTTTATTTAATATTTTTTAATATTTTCTTAAATATAATCTTAATTGAATATCTAAGTAATAAATTCATGATATTCTTGATTATAATCTTAATAACAAACCTAATATATCTTTTAACAACTCTTGACTTCAATGTATTATTTTTATTATTCAAAATAGTTGTCTACTTGAAATTTATGTTCCGAATTTATTTTAATTGAAAAGCGCTATTTATTTCTAATTTATTTTAATCCAAAATGCATTATTATTTATTTTATATGCCCGGACGTCTTTCCCGACTTCACATGCCTAGACGCCCCTCCGGCCTCCGGGGTCTATTCCGGATCCTATCTTAGAACCGCCATTTTCATGCCAAGCCAACTTCTTATTCATTCGTATCTCTCAATTTTGCACATGAATACTTAGATGGTAACAAATGTACAAACCTTATCAACACTTTTCTATTAAATGAACAAAATTTATTGATCCTAACCAGATAAATCCCTCGATAAATAATTAGTTGGTCTACTCTGTAGTCCGATCCATTGGATTCGTCCAACCTTTAATCCTAACCCAATTTAAAGCCTGTTGATGTAATTTTTCAACAAAAATAAAGTAAAATTCAAAGATATTAAAAATATCCTTAAACTTGATTAATTAGTGCCTGAGATTAGGAATCTCTAAACACTGTGACGTACAGAAAGTAAACTGGAAAATAAAAGACTGAAATTTAAAGTGGTGATCCCCAAATCTGACTTTGCTTTGTTGAAGTTGATTGAAGATGCCTTGCCAAATGATGATCCAAATCCTTAAATATTCCCTGGGAAACCGTACTGAAAACCGTCACCCGAACGGTTACAACGTCTCCTTCTCAACCGTCTTCCAACCTTTCTCATGCTGACACGTGTCCCCAGCAGACCAAAATTCCCTATATTTCACTCATTGAGCCGACCACAGACCTTCCGCTCTTTTGGCCCGACTTCGTCCTTCGTCCGACCTACTTCTTCGCCCGACCCCACTTGGGCCGACCTCCATATCAACCGCCCCCTGTCTTTGATCAAAGGCCTCCGCGTTTGTCCGACTCCTCCTTCTATCCGACCTACAGTTTACCCGACCTGCGGATATCCCATCTCGACGACTTTCCGTCTCGAGGACCTCCCGACTTGAAAACCTTCCGACTCATCGTCTTTCCGTCTTGCGGACCTCCCGACCTGAAGACCTTCCGACTTGAGGTCTTTCCGTCTTGCGGACCTCCCGACCTGAAGACCTTTCGACTTGAGGTCTTTCCATCTTGCGGACCTCCCGACCTGAAGACCTTCCGACTTGAGGTCTTTCCGTCTTGCGGACCTCCCGACCTGAAGACCTTCCGACTTGAGGTCTTTCCGTCTTGCGGACCTTCCGACCTGAAGACCTTCCGACTTGAGGTCTTTCCATCTTGAGGGCCTCCCGACCTGAAGACCTTCCGACCTGAGGTCTTTCCGTCCTGAGGACCTACCGACCTAAGAACCTTCCGTCCTGAGGTCTTTCCGTCCTGAGGACCTACCGACCTAAGAACCTTCCGTCCTGAGGTCTTTCCGTCCTGAGGACCTACCGACTTGAAAACCTTCCGACCTGTATTTTCCTTAGAAATAAATAAATAAATTTATTTTCCTTGATTTCCTCACGGTGTCCTTCAGCCAGTTCAATCAACCCTATTGCCAGGCCCATTCTTCTTTTTACCTTGGGCTTTTAACCTAATTCTAAATTTCGTGCGTAACAACTTGCCCGCCGCCAAGGGACTTTCAAACGCCATTTAACAATCAATGTTTGGAAGTTCATAAAGCACTACCTCCTTAGCAACTACACCAGTTACTGCAACACTCCTGGTTAACTTCCTTCTTCGCAATACAAGCCTGTGTGAATCACAATCCCAAAACATTCTAACTATGGCGAATCAATACATTCCTGCCCTTCCTTTCGACGGAACCCTTCCAGAAGGTCCATTTTCAGCCTCGAAAGTACTAACTCCGACGATCCGTCCATATTGCACTACTCCTGAAGATTCAAATCGGATGAGGGAAGTTTTGGAATCTCGCAACTCCTTGGCTATCAACAATCCCAACTACCAAGCAGTTCGCATCCGAGACAGCATCAAGACCCATCTCACAGACCCAAAAGATCTGTATCGTGCTTGGTATCGACGAGTAGCAGAACACTTCCAGACCCAATGGCGATCCCAAAAGATCGACCAAGCAATACTACTGTCCACCATGCCTATCAACCTGCATGAGAAGGTGCTGTTGGCCATGTCCGCCTTCTGGAATGCGGAAAATGGGACTTTCCTTTTGCCATCGGCCCCCTTTGGCCCAACTCTTATGGACGTGGCCATGATCGCACATCTCCCAGTCGTGGGTGAAGACCCTGTAATGGGAGCCCTAGATGGGCAGGAGCCATCAGAAGACCATCCGGGATGGTCTTTACAAGGTGTGAAGGAATGGGGTTGGACAAAGTTCGCAACCGACCAGCAAGGGGCTCCAGGGACTCCTGTAACCGACCGGGAGCATACTGCCTTTATCCTGTTCTGGCTTTGTAGGTACATCATTGTTTCCCCTTCCAAAAGTGTTCTTCCTTCTCACCTCGACCTGGCCATCCATATTGCGTCAGGTCGGTTCTTCTCCCTTGGTACTCTATTTTTAGCCAATCTGTTTGAAGGACTCACCAGGGTTAGCTTTCGTTTAACAGATAACGATAATAGGAAATTAGACACTGCCGCGTCGGGTCCTTTTTGGTTTTTAGAACTTTGGTTCCGTCTTTACTTCCCCAACGCGTTTAACTTAGGATCTCCGCCCACTATGCCAACATCTGAAAAACATTTAGGATTAGTCCTCAACCGACTCTGCTCAGGACGCAATAAACTCCAATCTTCCGATCCCATAATAACCGCCATTTTAACAGATACCCGCAGTAACTCTCGATTTTCTATGTATAAAAAGTATGCGGGTTATGCTCCCGACCATTTTTGGCCCTTTCCAGTACCAAACCCACTTCCGACTCCTGAGCCTTGTCCTCATCCCACCTATCCTTTCGCCTGGGACGTCGCCCTCAAACCCAGGTCACTTTTTAGTAGCAAGAAACTTGATAAAAAAGGGCAGAAAACTTTTTACACTTTTAACTATGAACCTCAATTCATGGCGCGCCAGTTCGGCTGTTGCCAAGGTATCCCTGGACCCGTCGCGTGTCCCCAAATAATTTTTCAAAGTCCCGACCGACGAGTCCTTCCTAATTCAATCCCTTCTTATATCTCCCAGCTCACCACGTATATAATTTCCAATTCTTATATTCCTTTCCGCTCCAACCCTGAGATCGTAGATACTTTCAATGAATGGTGGTCGGTTGTATGGTCCCTGATATCCCCTGATGAGGGTCGGTTGCTGAACATACTCCTTCCCCCCCAAGGATTGGTTCTAGGGGCGGCGAGACATACTAGCACCCAACAACAAACAACCGCCCCGGGAATCGGATCTGGTGGTCCCACGCGCAAAAGAAAAACTTCCCAGCTGCAAACACCCCCGACCTCGGAGACCGACCAGCAAACACTAGCAGACCTTGGAATAAATAGAACGTCAGCAAGGACCCGACCCCGAATTGGTAATGTTTCTTAACACCGTGAACCAATTCACTATATCGTAACTTTGATTTTACTCATTTCATTCCCCAGAACCGACCTTGGTGACATCGACCATGCAACCGACGCCAGCACCAACCGACCATTCAATCGGGCCTTTGGTCCAGACCAATTTGCCAATGAGCAGTCGGGCGGAGGACCCGACGCGGAGGCAAACTCTTCCTCCCGTACCGAGGAGTGGTCGGGCCAGGCCCCCGACCAGGAGACAATCTTTACCAGCAGTGCCTATAGAACCAGTAAGTTCCTTTATTAGCAAGACTTAGGATTCGGATGATCAACCTTAATATATTTAACAACAAACATCTTCATGATTTTTCCACAGACACCTTCACCCATCCCATCAGCAGCAGGGGTCTCTTCTGACAGCGATGGGACTACTTCCCAGATGGGTCGGCCGCCATACATGGCATCAGACTCATCTATGTCAAAGGAAGAACCAGCCGCCCTCGCCGAAGCTGACCCTCAAAACGACATCCCTGATGCTGCTGATCCCGAAATCGAAGGTGCCCCAGAGATCCTGGCTGCAGTGGCTCTAGAGGTAGCCGTCCAACCTGCAGCCGCCCTACCAGCAGCGGCGCTCCCTCTAGCCATCGAATGGCAGGCAGAAGAACCACCTGTGGCAGCCCAACCTCCAGAAATGGAAGAAATGTCTTCATCCGATTCGGAGACTTCTGTGAATTTGGTAAGATTAGACCAATCCATGCCATAACTTTTCTTTCGAAAAACACTAACTGTTTCAAATACTACTTTCCATAGGGACCCAGGTCGGCACCTCAGCGACCATTCGCAGCAGCCGACGAGTCGGCTGCTGTTATACCAGCTGTCTGCCCAACTCGACCGACCTCATTGCTGCCCCCCTCACTGACAGCAGTCCGCCCAGAGGTACCACATATTTTCTCCGAACAAATTTGCAACTCCCTTGGAATATTTATTGACATTGTAGGACTTGCAGGGGCCTTCGGACTTAGCTGTCCTATCGACTGTTCCGGTTCCAGCGGAGGCCCAGACTGTGTTCACTGAGGCCATTAACCGTCCCCTGTCCGAATTAAAGTCCGACTTATTGGACAAGCTCATTCAGACGGTTGGTGGCCTTCTTTATTACACTCCAACGGAATCACCAGCCGTCCCCATTCTGCATCGGCTGATGGAAAGACTTACAGAGCTCAAGACTGAAATATTAGTCATTGGACTCCTGTCAGCCGAAACCCCCCAGCCCGACTTCGATCAAACAGCGCTGGAGAATTCTTTGGCTAAGACCCGAGAATCTCTTCAACAGACTACTGGAAGGCTGGGTGGTCTCCTTAGCACGAAAGCTCAAGTTGATGAAGCTATTCAGAAAAAGGAGGCAGAATTGCGGGAGCTGAGGAAAGAACAGTCTACCCTGGATAAGCAAATTATCAATGAGCAGCGTCTGATTGAGCAGTACACCAAGAATGAAGCTGAATTGGATCAAGAGCTGAAAACCCAAGCCCGATCCCAATTCATCATAAGATATCAGACGGCTGCCAATACCAGAAGGCTATCCAGGGATGAAATCAAATGGACCCATATAAAAACTGCCCTAGGGGCACTGTTGTAATACTTCCCCCTTTGTAACAACAATTGACTTAGTAATCCATTTTTTCTTTCTTCTCTCAAAACAAGGATCACCTTTCAATTCCCAGCTTTATAGGAAACGAAACAAACTCCTTCTTTAAAAGAACACTGTTTCTCACATTTTAAGAAACACATTCTAAGGCATATTCGAAAAATCAAAACACCTGACGTATTAACAAACATGGCGAGTGACCGACCTCATGTTCCATCAAGCAACTGGGAAGGTGTTCTCCAACCCTTCTTTGTGGGTAATCACCCTATTGGAGGCCATGCAGAAGACTTGTTATATATACTCAAGCAACTAGACTTCAAATTCCGATTCTCCCAACGAGGTAGAAGAACTATTCATCGCGTCATCCGCCTGATGGAAAAAATCATTGAGGGATATGAACCTCTTCGTGACATCCTCAGCCGCATTCCTGATCTCCATCATCACATGGAAATGATTGAAAATCATGCAGCAACCATACTTCTAGACCTTGGTTGGGATAACATATTTTCCAATCAACGAAAAGTCTTTTCAAGATTGCGTACCATTGTTGACCGTGAACATCAAGCCCTAACAGACATGCAAGCACGTACCCATCAAGATCTAGATGACATGCAAAGCCAATGGGAAAGGTACCGACCAGATTTGGAAGATCTTATTGAAGAAGAACCAGAGCTAATATCCACTCACTGGGATGAAAAGTCTGATTCAGAGGCAGAAAATTTCTCACAACTACACGATGACTAACAGAAATGAACCTTTCCGTAGGTTCGAACCCCACAAATGGGTTCTGAATAATATTTTGTTTCAGGCAGTCTTGTCATCTGAAAAGGCAGGATAATACCTCTTCAGATATTTAGCATTAATACAATCATGTACTCTTCTACCTTCATGATTTACAATAATGAACGCGCCATTTCCAATATCTTTTTGAACAATGTATGGTCCTTCCCAATTCGGTGACCACTTTCCCAATTGATCAGTTTTCTTATATGTAGGAAGAATGGTCTTCCAGACTAGGTCTCCTTTTTGGAATGTCCTGTGAAGAACTTTCTTTCCGTAACTCCTTGCTCTGATTTCATTCTGTTTCACACTTCGATCTATTGCATGGAGACGGTTAACATCCAAATCTTCTAACTGCTGCAACATAAGTTGTTGGTATTCCTTTGTAAGATCACTATCAGTAAATTCTGTCCGGCCAGATGATACTCGAATTTCGGCTGGTAAAACAGCATCTTGGCCAAACGTAAGTTGGTAAGGTGAGAACCCTGTGGCCGTATTTCTGGTATTTCTATGTGCCCATAAAGCCTGAGACAATAACAAATGCCACTTTCTTGGGTTCCCTTCAATCATCTTCTTTATAATCCCAATGATAATCTTATTTGCTGCTTCCGCCTGTCCATTGGCTTGGGGATAATAAGGTGAAGAATGATGTAACCGAACACCGAATTCTGCCAAGAAATTAGAGAACTTTTCCCCTGTAAAGACCAAGCCTTGGTCGGTTGTTATAGACTGAGGAATACCATATCTGTAAATAATTTGGTTCAAAACGAAGTCTATCACTTCTTTCTGATCCACATTTTTCAAAGCAACTGCTTCCACCCATTTGGTAAAGTAATCAGTCGCGACCAATATGAAACAATGATGTTTCGATGAAGCAGGATGTATCTTACCAATAATATCCATAGCCCATGATTTGAAAGGCCATGGTTTTGCCAAAAATTGCAATTCGGTTACTGGCAAATGGTTTAAGTTTCCATGTCTTTGACATTCCTGACAGCCCTTGGCAAATTGTATGCAATCTTCAAAAATCTTTGGCCAGAAAAACCCCAAACGATGAATGGCCCATCTCATATTCAGACCTGCTCGATGAGCTCCACATATCCCACCATGTACTTCTGTCATCACTTCTAGAGCTTCTTTAGATCCCAAGCATTTCAAAAGTAAACCTTCAAATGATCTCTTGTACAAAATTCCATTTATCAATTGAAAACGTAAAGCCTTCAATCGTGTCGCAATTGAAACACTCGCACCAGGATTCTGTAAATACAGGATAAGCTCTGTTCTCCAATCGGGCACTGTTTCGCCATCGGACTTCTGTCCGATAATAACTTCGCAATCGGGCCCCTGACCGACCGTCTCCTGCCCGACAGGCTCGCAGTCGGGCTCCTGTCCGACACTCTCCTGCCCGATCATAACTTCACAATCGGGCTCCTGACCGACAGCCTCTTGCTCGACCGTAACTTCGCAGTCGGGCTCCTGTCCAATATCCTCTTGCCCGACCGTAACTTCGCAGTCGGGCTCCTGTCCAATATCCTCTTGCCCGACCGTAACTTCGTAGTCGGACTCCTGACCGAT